GGGGTGTCGGAGATTTCAGGAGGGGTCCCAGCTGACTCTAGTTAGAACACAATTATCTGGCAGTTACAATACTTGCAGTAACCCTGTTCAGAAGTCGTCTGGGGCCCAGAACTCAGCCCCAGGCAACGCAGACCAAAGTTGGTCTGCGCTGGGCTGTATGACCAGGACACGCCCAGCCTGAGTCTGTCACGTTTGGTTGTGTGACCAAACGCTGCACCCAGGAAAGTCAAGGGTCAAAGTCAACTGTAGAGTCTAAGGTACTGCGCCCAGGCCCTTGGTTGGATACACCCACTTGTTGTGCGCAGGTACCCAGACAAGCATCCAGGCCGAGAGGAATTCAGTTTCAGGCCAATCAGGGCCTTCATTTGCATCAAGATCTGGATGGCTGAAGGTAGCAGCATCCAGGGTCCAGACCCCGAGTCAACACTACTTAAGCGTTGACCTCCCTGGCTTTGAAATTCATTCATTTTGTCTTGCATTGATGCTGACTTCACGCGTTAACTTCAACGCTGGCTTGACGCTGCGACGCTGACATTGTGATTCGGCGAGGCGCTGCTGGTCCGGCATGGTGGCTGGCTTGCACCTGTCTTCTTGGCATGCTGACATGGCAGCTGCCATGCGCTGTCGCTGATGTGGCTGCTGCCAGGTGTATCATTGGCTGACGTGGCTGCTGCCATGTGTTCTTCTGTTTGCTGACGAAGCGAAGCTACGTGACTTGTATTGTTGTTCTGATTATCGTCATTCGGGAGGAGATCGGGACTGTGGAGAGATCGTGGATACATACCTGGTTGTCTTCATGTCGACATTGCTCCAGTGCTGATGAGGGACTGATTAGACGTGCCACGTGGCACATTGAGGTTACTTCAGATACTCGTGCAGACTATTGATTATTGAGGTGGTGATTGAGGAGGGAGCCCGAAGCAGGAGTGGGCCTTGTATTTATTTCCTCTCCTTTGTCTAATCTCCCTCCTCTCTCCTTCGTCTGTGTATGATTATCTCGTCTCATTCTGTCTGGACACGATTTTGACTATTGGTAATCATCAGCTGGTTGACATCTGGGCTTGCATTGTTGACGACTGTCTTCACGATCTGGGTTCATTGCATACTGAGAGGAGTCCAACTGGGATCACAGGGATGATGAAAGTAGTAAAAGCTCAGGCTTATTTAAGCAGGGGTGAGGGATGGTACATCCTTATGGAATTAATCAATGCCGTCTACTCGGGCCTCCCGGCCTTAATGGGGAGGAGCGTGCGTGAGTTTCTTATGTATATATTATTGACTTGCCGGGGGAAAGGAACCGGACTGCCGCTCCCCAGAATGGTAGGAGCTAGGAGCCAGAACCTAAAGGTTCTGTTAAAAAAAAAAAAAAAAAAGACAAAAAGAAAAGCAGTCAGTTAACTCCACCCTTCACCCAACTTCTCTTTCCCACTTCGCTGCCTCTGCTTTTTCCTTCCTGATACTCTCAATCTCCTTTTGAGCCGCTTCTGCAGCCTGCTCTGCTGCCTCAAGCTCTGCATCAAGTATGTCTACCTCTGTCAGGTGCTTCTTCTCTTCCCTGCCGTGGTCCAGATTACTTGATCCCTCGTCAGCCATATTGTTTAGAAATAGGAAGAGGGAATTCGGATTAGGACGGAATTCGGATTAGGATACACACACAAAGACAACCCAAAACGAGTTCTGTGATGTTTATTTATAGAATTAGGGTTAGGTTGTTTAACAACAGGTAGGTGTTAAGTGTCTGTAGGCGAAATTAGGGTTCATAGGCATAGAGTTAGGTTACGTAGTTTAACAACAGGTAGGTGTTAAGTGTCTGTACACAAAATTAGGGTTTGTAGGCGTAGAGTAGGTCTTAACCACAGGAAAATCACCCAACGGATTTCCTTTAATATCGCCCAAACCCTCATTAAGGTTTATCTTTGAAGACAAAGTTCAGATCAATCAAAATTTCAGATTAGAATCCAATTGCCATGCACTTCCAATGAGAGGAGAAAGGTTTCAATTACTTTCAGATTACAGAAGTCTTAGGAAAACAGCAGTCATCTGTTTCAGTCTTTCAGACTGACCCTATTTTCAGGACTGACCTAGACCCCAGCTTCGCCACCCTGATTGACCGCCAATCCCCATCTACTGAGCAAGCAACCGAAAACCAGACACTCCACAGACTAAATTTGATCCTTTCGAGCATGAAAACTGACCAGCAGACAACAGAGTAGGACAATGTTGACCAGAAACAGACTTCTACTGACCTAAACGGCCACAACATGGACTCTGTTTGACAACACCCTAAATTTAGAGTCAAAACATGCAGCGCAGGTCTGAAAATAGTTGTTTGGAGATAATAGACGTAGATGACCGGTGTAGAAAACCAGAATATGCTGAAATCAGGGCAATCAACAATAGATGGCAGTCATGCAGTCTGAAAACCCTAATTCTAGACCCAACATTTCAGCAGAAGGTAGTTTGGAACGAACTCACAAGTAGGGTCTTTGATAGAAGATGCAGCACCAATTAATCTTTTCTCCCGGAGCCAGAAAATCAGCAGTGCCATGCAGAAAGCCGGATCTCCATAGCCAAACCAGGAGCGCTGTTCCACCCCGTTCCCTCCTGGATCTTCCAATCAAAATTGCTTCTGCTCTGCCCATTTGAAAGTCCTGAACACTGTCTCCCTAGATGCAGAAGTTCGTGAAGATGCAGCTTCCATTAATCTTGAAGTCTATCGGACCTGAGTGCGCTGATGCCGGTCAGTTAACGTTTACGAAACCCTAAACAAAACTGTTGCTGAGCTGGTTTAGGGTTTGGAATCCCTAAACTGCACTGGCAGCGTGTTTTAGGGTTATCGAACCCTAAACTGCCTCTGGCCGCATTCACTTCCCCTCCACCACCGAAGTCTGCATTCACCTTTCTCACCCTCACACACCTCCTTTCACCTCCTTCCCCCGATCGTCTCACTTGAAGAAGATGGCAGAAATTCTCTTCTCCACCTCCATCAGCTCCCTGGAAGAAGATGGCGAACAGTTTGCTCACAAGAAGTACCCGGCTGCAGCTCCGATACCAAGTATTATGCGACTGATTGAAAACACAATCCAGCAGAGCACTGGCATGTTCCAGTACACATGCCACGATGACAAAGCAGACTTGGAGAGGGAGTCGCACCAAAACCAGATTTGAAAGTTGCACAGTGGAAGTCCAACAGTCAAGAAATATCAATTCATACTCCCTCCTCGCCCACTCTCCATCCAGCTCAATCAGAATCACAAAGAACCCAAGGATCAATCACAACCGAGAGCAAACCACCTTGAAAAAACTCAGAACAAAGCTTCAACAAGCCTTTAGAAGTTTAGAGTCTTCCTCCTAACTCCAGTATCAACCACACTTCCTCCGGCTATGGCGCACAGTCTAACTCGGAGCACCCAGTCCAGATAAACTGCAAACCACCAGCGCCGTACTTTCCTTGCCTCCACAGCACCAGCACAGTCCAAGTACTCAGCATCAGGATAAAGAAGGAACGTCCAGCGTAAAGAAGAAGATATGGCAGCACCTAACCAACTGATCCCCACAGGTGGTCAGTGGGGATTGAACCCATGACCTCCTACATGCCACTTGCATGCCTAACAAACTGAGCTAGGCTGCTTGCTCTGGTTCCATTTACATTCTAGTCTAACCTACTGGACCGGACTGCTAGGACCTAAGACAACGCTAATAGTTATGGTCTGTGCTTTGCCAGTAACAACGGTACCAGTCTGAGGCAGTAATATAGCAGCAGTCCGTTTAGGCCTGAATGTCAAAGGACACTAGACCCGATTTCCAGCAGGGGCAGCTCTCCCCCAATGGAACGGAGCCATCCAAGAGCAGGAACAGTAGAGGGGGTGTCTGCTCATATCAGCAACCCCTCTACGTCCCGTCGCCGATGTTTGAAAAAGAAGAAAAAAGAAAAAAAGTTTAGGGCCAGTAGTAACCGTTTAGCAGTAGTTTCGGGAATTTACAGCAATGTCTGTGTCGGTTTAGGCCTGTTTCAGTTACCGGCTAGGACCCAGAATTTAGAAAAATTACAAAAATGTCCTAGTTAGTGTTATAGCCCACTGAAAAAAAAAGAAGAAAAGGTGTTATAGCCCACTGAGAAACTGCAAGAACATTGCACTGGCGTCGCCAGCCATTTTGGTCCAGTAGTACTGTTCACCCAAAAATTCCGGTTTATGGTAAATCAGTGTCTCAAATTTGCCTGTGAAAGGTAGTGGTGGTTTGAGGAAACCAAGCTTACCTGACAGCCAATCCTCCTCTACAAGGAGTAAACAATGCTGGTCAGGGGTACCTTCAACCATAACAGCAGGAGCAAGCATCAGAGTTGACGATTTGTATTAATTGGGACTTGCCAGTGGAAAATGATCCAGACTGACACACCCCAGAATAGAAAACATCCTGGACCATAAGGTCCTGTTTTCTTTTTTTTCCCCCTAACGATGGGCAACCTACCTCCCTATGTATGCCTCAAGGACAAACATTTGTCGACAGACATTAAAGAGAGTTCTTCCAATGCCATGGTTCCAATTGCAGATTGAGATGCTAGAAAGCAGATGAATCCAGCTTTTGCTGCTGGGTCCCATCTGACAAAACATCAGGATGCCTAAGCCCAGAACATGCTTGGTCGACGAGCCTCTCTCTTGGAACAAGCATGCATTGAAGACTGTCTTTGTATGCCCTTCTGCCTTTTTATATTATTATCATTATTAATATTATTTTGTTATTATAATATTATTATTGTTATCATCACTTCTCAATTTGAAAGTTTGTTGTTGCACTGTGCTCCCTGTTCCAAGCTCAGTCCGTGACACCTTGTTCGTAAGGGGTCTCAACAACATTTATGAGGGATGCTTTGTTCGTAAGGGGACTCAACAACATTTGTGAGGGATGCTGGGCCCGTTTCCTGGCTTGTACATAAATTTTTTCAATTGGTAAGAAAAAAAGAAAAAAAAATTGTTGTCCGATCTTTATCCAAAAAACAGGCATTGACCATGATTGTGTGACTTCGTGTCCTTGTTCACTTCCGCAATTTGGCATGTTGACTGGTCGGTCCATTGGTCAGGGCGATGTTGGGGATAAATTCTACATGGTGGAAGCTGGGGAGTACGACGTGTATGTTGCCAAGGTGATGTAGATTTCTTTAGAAAGTCCTTTCTCATACTTCCAATTTGGAAAATATTTTGCAATCTTCTTCTGTTCGTTATCTCTTTGTTTTCGATGAAGCTTTTTCTTCCTTTTAAAGCTGGAGCTGGTTCCCAGCACGTGAAACATAGACCAAAGCTAGAGAAAGGGCAAGGGCCCACTAGCAGAGAGAATTAGTTACTATGGAGAGATGTGAGATGGTTGACGGAGGCCTAAACTTTCCGATGATTTGTTATGCCATTTGTATAACAAAAACCCAAGGGCCATTTTAATCAAAATTGCCACCAATTCGTGGAGTCGACACCATAGTAACTAACCGCACAAAAAGGTAAAAACACCCTATAAAACTGCAAGGCAAAAGTGCACTTCCATGAAAATTTCACTTTCCAATTTCATAAATTTTTAGAAATATCAGAAATGTCAGCAGAGGAATTTCCTTTTTTTAATTTAGAAATCGCAGATTTCTTTTTCCTTTTTTAGAAATCGCAGATTTTTTTAATGCTTTTTTAGAAATCTCAGATTTGTTTTCCCTTTTATAGAAATCTCAGAAATGACCAGCATTGGTTACTCCTGCCTGAGGAGGATTGACTGTCAGCTTGCCCTTCTCAACTATTCCTCTGAGGCTCCTCCTTGAGGCCTGTCTGCTAGAGCTTGGCTTAACAAGAATCATGAGAAGTTCTGCTTCCATTTTATCCTGATAGAGTTCTGACCTCCCTGTACGTGTTGATGCTTCCCTGTCATGACCTTCTTGGAGGCTCATTTCTTGGCGAGCCTGACTGATGCCACCTCGACATTCATCGTCCACTGCAACCAGTGGCCATGACGACTTCGACGGACGAGGTGTACGAGTTGAGCAATGCCTTGGCGGAGTGCATGAAACACATGTGATGCGCCGCCCTGCATGGCGAGGTTGCACGTTCCGGACTTCGTAGCTCCTGTATTTCGCCGCGCATTTCGTGGTGGTCCGCTGTTGTCCGTGTGTGGACCACTGCGGTTCCTCGCGCGTCGCCACGTATGAGACGGCGGGTGTCGTAGATTGTGCATAGTCGTGGCAATCAAGCCATGGTCGCAATGTGGAAGACTTCCGCGGTTTTGCCGCACATGAGGTTGTAATGTCCCTTTGGGTTTCGCCAGTGCGGCGTTTGCGCCACGTGGGGTGGGTGGGTGTGTGGTGGGGAGGGGGGGGGATGTAGTGGCTGGGGTTGATGGTGCGGTTTGGTTTTCCGGCAGGGTCGCTCCATGCCGCTGGGGCGGTGCAGGGACCAACACAAGACGGTGAGCATGAAGGAGCGTTTGTCGCTCCTTCTTGTGCTTCTGAAATGTGTTCCGTTGTTGTCGGTGATGACACAGGCACGCTGGTGTCGGCGGTGTTTTTTCATGAAGAGTGAATTCTTTTCCACTGGGTTCTAGTTTCTTTATGTTCTTCGTTTCGCTCATCTTTATGCATGCACGGATAATGTTCCTCAATTGTTCTACATTCTTCTACGCATTGTTCAAATGCCTTTTGCTGAGCTGCAATAACTGCATTGTGGATGGTTTTTCTGTTCAGTCATTGACCACATTTCGAAGCCGAAAAAAATGTCTATTAACAAATACTTAGGAGTTGCTTTTGTGATTAGGTTTTTTCGTTTCTCAATGTTTTTTTTTGTTTTCTTTTTTTTGCCGGACATGGTGATACTGTCATATCCTAGTCAAACACAGGCACAGCAGAAAGCAGAACGAGCAATATCACAAAGAAACGTCAATGACAATGCACACACACGCATTCAATCAACATGAAGTATACTGACACTAATCACGAAAAGGTTGTCGAGGTGGCACTCGCATAAAAGACAAGGCTGAAAACAAACTTCCATTACATCTGTAGAGGTTTAACAAAGCAATAAAGCGCCGTAGCGCAGTTCTTCAAACACTTCAGCCACGCACGGCTGAACATGAGCGACGAAGGACGAAGACTAATTACCGCATTGGCAGCGGAGGGCTCACCCGCATTCCCTGGCGATGGAAGATGAAGAGGAAAAAACAAAGAAACTGACAATGCATGATCTGCACCCCTCTAGTGCAGACGATCCATGTGCTACCCCCGCTACACTGCTTACAGCACATTAATGTGCACGTCACGTCCCCTGCCTCATCGATGGCCCCATTAATGTGCACGTCACGTCCCCTGCCACGAACCCCCGACCCATCCCTAGAGGCGAGACTCCCTCATACCCGTCATCCCCATCAATCGCCCCCGTCTAACCCCCCCCGGCTCACAAACCCCACCCCGCTCCTCCCCCCTCCTCCTCGACGGGCCTGTGAAGTTGCGCAATGCCGCAAAGCCATCTACGAGCCGCCACTCAACGATCGCCGGAGGGCCACTGCCGAGCCAATTATGTGTCCTGGTTCCGTCCGCATTCTGATTGAACACCATCCCGCAATCAGCCCGTTCCGGGATGCAATGTGGGTACTTGCCCAGCATGAGGTGGGGTTTCCCCAAACCATCCAACACGACGTTTGCGGTGTCCACAATGTGTCTCCACCAATTGAAGATGTAAGAACCCGCCGCGACGAGTGTGGGTTTGGCGGCCAAGGACGCGTAGAAGGAGGCCTCGTAGTGGGAACCCTCATCGTTGCCACCCATGCGCATAATCCACATGCACGCGCTCAATAGTAGGCAAAGACAATCCGCAAGCCTGTTGAGCCTTTCATGTTTCAAACGACCATTGTCCGCCCACTGCCCGCACCAGAGTGCGTCCGTCCAACACTCCGCTAGGCGGACAACTGTCACCTCCTGCTGCTCCGCCATGTCGTCGTCTTTTGGCCTGTCGACGATCTTCACGCCCGCGAACTACAGAGGCGTGTCCATCTTCATCTCCAGCGTGTAGTAGATCAGGGTTGGGGAAACCATTCTCGCCCACCCCATACACTGCCAAACAGCTCGCGCCACGTCGGTAGCATAGTCGACGGTGATGTACGATTCTGCGCGAGTGAAGCCGTTTGACCTTTATGACTACTTAAAGATCCACCCGTGGATTGTGCGCAACACCACTCTCTCCGAGTTCCTCGCTCTGTACAGATCCGGTTCGTGCTGCGCAAGGTCGTCTATATTTAAGCGTGACAAATCTCTGGGCGGCATGATGAACATGGGCGGCGGTTCAGCTCGAGCGTCTCCGTTGGTGATGGCGATGAAGTAGTCGGTGCAGTAGACCACCGCATCCCGCAACGGTTTCCCAGGGCCTCGCCCCCAAAACGCCTCGCAATCCACCCAGAGCTTCGACCTCTCCTCTTGTTCGTCATCCTGTCTGGTTGTCTTCCTCCTGTTGCTGAGCGGCTCGTCGTCGTCATCGTTGCCCTCCGCATTCCTTTTGTTCTCCCCTCGCGGTAGCGGGCATCGTCGCTCCTGCCCTCCTCCCCCCCCTAGCGCAGCAGCACTCCCACTGGCATGAAATTGCGTCGTCGTTGGTCGTGCCAACGCTCCCTCCGTCGCCACCGCAGTGGATGAAGTTCTCGGTGCCCCCATAGCCGCCTGCGGCTGTGGCGGCTCAGCCTGGCGAGGCTGGGGCTGGGCAACCGGCGCCTTGTCTGGGCAAGCCCCCTCGGCGGCCGTGACGATCGTCCCCCAAGCAACGTTCAGCAAGGCCTGAACTGCACCTCCGGCTTGCCTGTGGATGCCTATGTCAGCGATGACAATCCCCTGCGACCTGGAGTGTTCTTGGCGGCATCCCGCCAGCAGCCGCTGTGCCGTATTGTTTGAAAGCCACCATCTGTTCCCTCGAAGCCTCATCTTGCCCAAAACCCAATCGCGTTCCCCCCCCCTCATCCTGTGGGCTTCGATCGCCGTAACCTCGTTGACCTGGAAATCTTCATCGAACAGCACATCCACCTCTTCCACGCACTGCCTTTTCGATTTCGGCACGTGCCCTCGACCTTTCTGCCCATTCCCCCCATCATCAGATCCACTGTCTCCCTTGCTCTTCCCCATGGCACCTTGTGGCGGCATGATGTGCAACCTCAGTTCTCCCTCCTGTGATGACCCGTCCATACACGGACTGAAACACACAGCTGATTTCTGAGTTTTGCCCATAGACTGAATGCCCTGCTGAGTTTCCTGCTTGCTACTAAGTCTGTGTGTGCCCGCTTGCTGGACTGCATGTCTGTCTGAGTGCTGGATGGCTTGAGTGTGTGTGTGACCATCCTGTCTGAGTGTTGCTTGGCTTGGGTGTGTGCGTGACCGTGCCTGTCTGAGTGCTGGTTGGCATGAGTATGTGTGTGGCCCGTCAGGGCACTTGCTTGTTCGTTGGGCCCTGAGGGCCGGTACTTACCTGTGGCCGTGACATTGAGGGGTTGCAGCGGGGAAAAACACTCAAGTAGCGGGTAGGCCGGTACCGCACCTGGAAGGGGTAGATGTGCAGGTACCGGAGGCCGAGCAGAAGAAGACAAAAGTGGCATTCTTAGAGGCCCAGTAGTTGTAGGTAGGTCTAGGCGGATATCGGTCCAACCAGTCTGGGTCTAGGGCCTGTAGCGGGCAATATCAGAGTCTGCAATGATGTTTCCCTCCGAAAGGGAGGAGGTACCGGTTGCTTGGGAGGCCGAGCGGCCTGGAAGTCACCGCCCAAGAGGCAAAGCAGGCCGCTATATCTTCTGACCGGGCGGAGAGTCAGGCCTCTTTTTCGGTGTTCAAGTTTGGCGACACACTGGTGGAGCGCTGGCTGGAGCAGTGCTAAGCTGGAGCAGCGCTGCTGGGGAGGAAGGAGAAGGACACGAGGGAGGAAGAAGGAGGAAGAAGGAAGGAAGGGGGAGGAGTGCCAGGGGTACTTACCTGG